TAGGGAGGATTATTGTATGTACGCAATCAATTAACAATTTCAATGTTTTTTTTCCATTTTTTTTACTATGTTACCAAAAAATTCGACCGACAGTTTAATAGGAATGTCTGTATATGATATGCCATCAATTACGCTAGTTAGACAACGAATTGACCTTTCAATTTCTTTAATGCTTGCAACCATTCATTATGTTCCAATATGATAATTATTGGACAAACATATAGCACAAAGAATTCTAAAATCATCTACCACACATACGCAAATATTGTAGTTCCACTAGACCATAGAAAATAAGATTATCAATGTTGAATAAATTTAGCAAAAAATGGCTTTAGACTGATCAAATGAAACATAGATAGAATATCGTCTTTCATCACTTTCGAATCGTTTACTGTTTCCATCATTGATTGAAAAATATTTACATTTCTATTCACTAATACATCTGTCAGCCATTTAAAACCTTCCCGAAGATCTTGGTTTTGTGTGGCTACTGTCGCTTGTATATACCATTTTCTGTTAGGTGTTAATTTTTCAAAGCAAAGCCTATCCATTAATTCAATGGGCGACATTGCATTCGGTAAATCTTGTTTATTAGCTAAAACGAGAACGGGTATGTCTCGGAGTTCATCTTCATTGAGCATTGAATGTAGCTGTTCAGAGGCATCATTTACTCGCTCTCGATCATTTGAGTCGACAACAAAAACGATGGCTCGAGTGTTTTGGTAATAGTGCCGCAATAATGGTCAAATTTTGTCACGACCATCGACATCCCAAGCTATCATTGTGATATTTTTAAATTCAACTGTTTCAGCATTAAAACCGATCGTAGGAATTGTTGTCACAATTTCACCTAGTTTCATGGCATAGAGAGCGGTCGTTTTACCTGAGTTGAAGAAGACATAAGTCAGTAATACAAAACATAAAAACAAACTTACCAGCTGCATCGAGACCCAACATGAGTACGCATACATCTTCTTTTCGAGGAAAGTAGGATGCGATCTTGCTGAGTGGTGAACCCATTTAAGTATGCACTCTAGATTTATTATTTTTCTTATGTCGTTAAATGTACAAACACACATATATTTATATATGGATATGTCGAATCAATAGCTTGTTTTTTGAGATGTGGCAAAAGTTGCACAATCACTACGTAAGATCGTCTATCGTCTTTCATCTTGAGAAACCTGTCGACTTCTCTTTTGTATTTCACGTTATTTTCATGATTCTGCTGCATTCGTCAATGTATTATTTATCGAGTTTGATTTACTTTAATCACGTCAAGATCAAGTACACAGGCAAGAATTTTTTCATGAATAGAGTCCAATATTTTTTACGTCTAAGCGTACAATAATTCAAACCAGGTTATATCTATGGGTGTGTGTCATCTCTTTCTCCATACCTCACATTTTTGAAAAGAATAAATATATGCCATGAAAGCATAATGTCTGATTGTTAGCGAAAAATATGAAACAACTATATTGAAAATATGAACTGACAGTAATTGATACTCACTGTATAAAAGCAATCAATGCATGGAATATAGATTAAACCTCATTAGATCATTCAATTTTCACATAATACTCGATCATCGACTTCAAACAACAAAAACTAGTACTAGTAAATAATGGATACCTTTATCATTCAATTTTCTGAAATATCAGAGAAGAAGAACATTTCTGATAATAACAAAATTCATAAACAACAACCATCCATCACAAACGCCAATAGAAAGGAAAAAGGTGAACTCTACTTTTCATTGTCGCGTCATCTGAACGAATCAATTGCTTTTCTGTTGATAAGAATAGATGGATTGTTCTACTTGAAATTGAAAACAATCAAAATACTGCTAAAAAATAATATCATCAACTAATCTCTTTACTTGCTTATACAAAACACTCTTCAACAATCCTATGAAAGGTACAGCTGTGAAAATTCAGTAATCGAGCTATATTGAGACACTCATGAATATGTCGATTGTTTGTGGATAGTTAGAAACGTATGCAAAACGTTACTATGAATGTTTTACGAAAGAGTTTTCTTCTCAAATTAGCAAACAAATCTTTTTAAAATTTGAAAATTGAAGATAAGTGTTGGTGAAGTATAGTAAGCATGCCAACATTCACATCAACAAGACAAAATTTACTAAACTAATTTTAGATTTATTCTCCATAAAAGTACAATGATTAATAAAGGATGAATGACGGTAAGATCGTTTTTCATTCTCCTCAATATTGTTCCAAAAAATCATATGACAAGAATCAGCATTGAATTCTGAATAAAACGGGCTAGTTTATTTATTGCACCGATCAAAAACACATTTTTCGAAAAAAAGAATTTTTTTCAATTTCAGTCCAAATTTGGATGATTCGTAATCAACTATGTCGATTACCTATGAATCATCTAAATTTCGGATTGAAATTGAAAAAGCTCTTTCGAAAAGTCTTTGTTCTTTGGCTTCTTTTGTTCAGAATTCAATGCTGATTTTCCTCATATAGTCTCCTTTAGAAAAATATTGGGAAATGAAAAATGGATGTACCGGCACTCATTCTTTCCCAATCTTCTTGTTAGACTTTTGTTATTTTCTAAAATATTTGCTAAATGGTCTATATTTTTAATTTGCATAGGAATTCCTTTACAATGAATTCAACTTTTTTTTAATTTTTTTAAGAATAGTCTTTGAAAATATTATTTTCATTTTAAATTTAAAAGTATAAATATCTGCTGAACATATATCGTATCGAGACAAATCTTGTGTAGTCTCAAATATTATTTTATCTTAGAATATTCAACAAAAAGGATGTATGTTAATAATATCGATTTTGTAAGACTAACAAAGGATCAAACACATATTGTCTGACAAGAAAGAAATGACAAAATAATATGTTTTTCTACTGTATGTCAATGATATTATTTTATTGGAAAAGATTTTAACTTGAGATTTTTACATTGAAATTAACATGTGACATATAGCCTTGATTATTCAGATTTTCAAATAATTTGATAATATTGTTAATTGTTTCTTTCTTAAAATTAATTTATTTTCTTATTGGTCAGTCTTTTATTGAAAGTCTTCGCGAATATGTTCAACTACAGATTTTTGTTTTCATAGATCAGTTAAGTTAGATTAACTTCAATTTGTTGCACAAATGATCTTCTATTATTTAGCAATTTGAAATAAATTCGACGAAATTCATTTTTTGAGCATGATTATTTTAGAAGAACTGATGGCATCATTATCGTTAAGTGTTCTTGTTTGTAATTGTTCAATTATTTGTCATGAATTTTAAAATTATTCGGTCAATCAAATAGGAATATAGTGACTTATTTATTCTTCTTTCATTTCTGCTATAAAGAAAAACAAAGACCTTTTTCTGTATTGCTGACGACAGCGAGAAATTCAGACAAAGCAATATATACATGAGTGCTAACATAAAGGGTGTGGGTTTGAAAAAAAAAGAAACATTCGCACGTACATTCACATCCACACCCATTATATGACCTAAACAATGTAATGAAGTATATAGCAGTTCACTTTTTTTCCGATAATCTTTGGCCATAGATTCGTAAGGAAAGCCAAACAAGTACTGCTGAACAAATCGGAAATACATGAATAGAAAAGCTTTTCATCAATCAAATTGACTGCTTCGCTCATACTAACAACTAGTAACTATCTTGGGTGTGGGTATGGGTCAAGCTATTCTCTTAACCCACACCCACCCCGAAATGTAACATTGGTATTAGGTATGTATCAGATCCAGTCCACTGGTTTAGGATTGTACTAGTGCATACCTATATGTACATTTCGTTCTCCGGCCGTATTTTTGAATTTTGCTTCTACGAAATAGTAGAAGCCGTTTTGTGTTGTTCTATATGAGAAAAAGAACCATAGGTATAGCTACGTTCGGCTATGCAAGATTATTGGTTTTTCGATTTCTGCATCTCAAAGTAAAGAGCAATTTGAGTTGTGTTCAGCTTCAAAACCATGAGGAGGTTTAGTATTGTTGTCAAAAAACGACGATGAAAATACTGATATTGAAACCCTTTTTTTTGCAAAGTAAACTTCTAGACATACCGAGCAGTGATCAGTATGTTGCCCATATTTCAAACCTATTGCAATTGTTATGACTTGTGGCATTCTCGAACATTAGAATCACATTATGTTTTTGATCAAAGCGAACATGCTGCGTACTCAATCAAGTGACACTTTTCAGGTTCCAAGAGTTGAATAGGATATTTAAAATTGGTTCATGCGTGCTTATCCAAGTGGTTAAGGAGCCTGCTCGAGGTGCAGGTGTCAAAGACGCGCAGGTTCGAATCCTGCAGTACGCAGTTTAGTTTTTTTCTTCTATAATAATGAAAAAATTCCATGAGAATGAGTTTTTTTCAGTTCTGTCTGTAGTGAGTCATTCATACATCATGTACAATATAATGTTTGTCCTCGAAATGCAACATTAACTGGAGTTGAAGAGCAATAAATGAAACAACAACTGATACGTTCAGTTTTATCAGTCGACTCAAATGAAGCGAAGCATCTTCAAAAATTTGCTCTTTTGTCTCGTGTAAAATATTAAGGAGTACACTCTCGCCAAACTCTTTTAACATTTAACGAGCATAGTTTCCGTTGGTCGTGATTTATTTGACGAAGAGTATTGAGGCTGGGAAATGCTCGACTCATAAGATTGACGAGCCAATTAAATGGTTGCAGACGCGAATATTCTAGCAATGAATTTCATCTGTTAAACATGTAGCTATGTAGCATAGAGTGAAGAATATATCTATATAAAATCATTGACAAAATTCATCAAATATCATCATGAAAAGGTATAAAATTCAACAGCTAGTTTTCTTATTAAGTAGTGTACTGTGTGATTGACAATTTCGATCACGATCACGATTACAAAGTACAAGAACTTCTAAATCAAGATCACGGTGTGGATGTTGTTAGTCTTCTCTCAATCCACACTCACATCCACAGATATATGATTTGTCTGTCTGTATGCATCTTTGATGAAGTTTTACTGAAATATGTTTGTTGATCGGTTGCAAATATTCGATTAGGACACAATCACTGTGAACACTCTTTCAAATTATTTTATTTTCTTTATTGATTGTCATTTTAAATTCAACTGTAGCGTATCTTCTATCAACATCTTTGAAAAGATCTATCTATTTTTGTATCTATACTACAAACATTGAAGAGCAACACATCTGTTTAGTATATAATTCATCGATCGATTCAAGTGAAGAATAAAGAAAATATAAGAAAAATAATTTTGTTTTTTTTCTTTCGCTTACAATTGATTCTAAATTTTAAAAAGATGTGTTACTATTTTCAGATTATCGTATTATTTCATGTGCAAATACTTCTAGTCTTGAATAGATCATCATGATGCATCAAATGGTTGATGTTCATTAAAATGTCGAATTGATTGTTTATTCGTTTCTGATTCGATCATTCATATCTAAAATGCTTTCAGACGAATGTAAATTCAAAGAAACTCATAGTGAATGAAAGTCATCAAGATCTACTTTTAGATTATAATAGTGCCATTGGAATCGATTTATAATCCGATTTTTTTAACATGGGAGATATTTAGATGCACTATTTTTCTATTCAGGAACTACAACATTATTATCTATCGCGAGTTTATTCGAAGAAACTGGTGTGCTCGTTCACCGATTTGATTTCAGCGAACCTCAAGCTGGAAAAAGTGTGTGCGATCGGATGTCGGCAACGGTTAAAGCCAATGTTAGACGTTATGTTAATGAGGGAAATGATTGTGAAAACAGTGTACAATTCGTACAAGCAGCAAAAGCAATCTCATTTACAACAATTATTGCTGGAAGATTGACGTTGTACAATATACCCGAACTGAGAATACAATGGTCGGGAATTAAAAAATTCAATAATGTCCAATATGATATAAAGAACGATTCACATAATCACCGTTATTCAACAACAGCAAATGCATCACTACAGGCCACAGTGTGGCGTGCATTCGGTATCGGTGTCGGCAAACAGTGTGATCTTCAGAAAAAAGTCGTCAACATCGATCCTATTTAAACAATCGCTGAACATACTGATAATGGATGGAAATTTGATGGACTTCCATGCCATCGTAAAGGTACCGATGAAATTTTTATCTACCTTAATCGGAGTAGAACTTCAGTTTAAAAAATTGCATAACATTATTAACAATTGTTTGTTAATGAACGAACTAATATGTAAAAAATGCATTATTTATCTTGAAAATAATTCTACGTATAGAATTCTTCTATCGTTGTTCTAGGAAACTCAAGAACCAAGAGAACGTATAATAACAAATTGGACAATACTTCAAATGATGAATCCGAAGACGTTCCATGTGATGAGTCTGAAGATAGTTCTGAAGATAGTATGTCTAATGATGTTTTTATCAATGATGATCATATGAAGAATCATATGGATATGGAACCAAACAGCTCATCGTTTATTGGTAGTCGTCAAACAGGCTTCACTACGTTCTTTTGTGATGAACCTGGATGTATTAAACATTTTGTTCGTTTTCAAAATCTCGTCAACCATCACGCTCGAGGTGATCATATATTCAGACCAGATAAATTAAAGCTTTGTGATAAAGCCATTCAATAATTTAAAAGTAGTATTGAACAAGTTAAATCACATCAGACTTATCAACTTCACAATTTCAAGATTGTTTCAAATATATCAACAAGTAGTTCTGATGAAGAATCAACAACTGATGATGAAACAGAAACAATTACTTACGAACTTCGGCAAGGTTGGACCCTAATAGAACCAAATAATAATACACGTTGTTCACCTGAACAAATTAATTTTTTAAATAAGAAGTACGAAGAAGGTAAAAATAATGGATCCAAATGGAATGCAAATGCCGTTTTTGAAGTAAGCCTTACTAACTTCTTTATCTATGAAAGTGTATTGTTCATTAAAGGAGATGCAAAATAAACAAGATGAAAACGGTACTTTTATTGTTGATCCATCACAATTTCTTACTACATCTCAAATCAAGAGTTATTTTTCACGATTAGCAGGTGCGCAACGTCTTCATGGTAGTCAGTCACAATCATACAGTAAAGAAATTAATAATGACTACAATGAAGAAGAAACAGAAGAAGCCGAGAAGGATTTCGACTCAATATTGGTCGAGCTCCAGGAACAATCGATCAGAGTTATGGCGAAAGACAGATTTAACAAGTTACAGAAATCTCAAAGCTAATTGTCTGTCTATTTTAAAAAATAGAGTGACAATATTTATCATTGATCTACTATAATTGTCATGGTGAGAAGTAATTTTCTTGATTGACTTTACATAACTGAATGATTTATGTCCATTTAGATAGAATTCTATTTACAGAAGTCAAGAGTCAGTATAACTTTGCTTGATAAATTCTTTTGGGACATATGACCATTTGTTTAGATAAAATTTCCACATTTTAGCTTAAAATGGTCCTATTATGTTTCTTCATTATTTTCGATAACTTCTATGTCTTTTGTTTCTCAACATTTGAATAATTTATACTTGATTAAAAAACTGAAGGAAAAACATAGTAAAAAATTTCGTTGTACAGAAGAGATACAGTATAGAGCGATGTCGATGCCCGTTTTTATCGGCAGACTCCTCTAAGAAATGACTTCTAGGTGCAAAGTATTGAACCGCAAAACTGTGTAATGTGCTTAACATATGGATGCAGGTCGCATGATATTGTGCAATATATCTTGGAATGTTCTGTATTTGAATAATTCATTATGAAAGAGAAAAGTGAGAGTAGCATACAAAGAAGCAGTCGTTATGAATCTGACTCTGTCATTCTAGATGATATAGTCATGCTCACTAAATCAAATTATAGATTAAATTATGAATGAAAAATGATCAATATGAAAAAATAATGGAAATAACCTAAAATTAACATAAAAAAGCATATAGTCATGTTCTTTGTTTAAAAAATTTTAATAACCGGGCCATCGTTTTTCTTAGGTGTTTTCATATCAGAGGATGCAGTTTTTCACGGACTTTCTTCTGATGTCATAAAATTTGTGGCACTTCGCCATTTTTGTATCTCAAGGGTCAAAATACTTTGAAAAAACGTGAAAAAACCAAGCATTTTTTTGTTAAAAGTATACTCAATGGGCTCGCTTTCTTCCCATAATGATGTGTCTGATGGGTTGAAAAACACATAGATAAATAAAATAAAACATGCTCTTTCATTTTGGTAAAAGAAGTACTATGTTAATGCTCGAAATAATAAAGTGATTTTGATTATACTAAAAAGTACAAAAAAGTGACATTTTTTCCTTATGTCTTTCGACCCTGTTTTCAATGTGTACCTCATAATTCGGGAAGAGATTGTCAGAATAAGCTCATATTTTGGATGTAATGCTAACTATGTAAGGCCTTTCTTTTAAGATAATTAAATAAAAAATTTTTCTCCAGCCATGTTACGTACCTATTACCTGGTTTTTTCGTGGACCCTCTCTTAAAGCGTTGAACAGAAATAATGCTAAACATTTTGTTCAAAAGCACGTTTAAAATAAATGAAGACAGGGATAGAATCATGCGGGCTTTACCGTAGCTCACAACAGCACTCGCACCCAGAGATATAGATAGCGGAAAAATTCATGGAGCTTCGCTGCGCGTTTCAATATGACAGAAGCTCGTATTTGTAGACGAATCATAATTTTGGTAATTTTTTTTTCAGTTTTTTTTTCGACAGAGAAGCGTCGAGCTTAAGAAACAATTTAGAATATAAAAAAGTATTGTTTAATCAGCGTTCTATCATATTTTGAAAATTTCTCGAAGCAATCGCTAGTAGAAAACAAGACTTCACTTCTTTTTATACAATCTATATTTGCTCTATTTAAAATCCACTTGATAAGATATTATTTCGATTTGGTTTCAACAGCTTTGTAAGTACTATGAACAAGAGAGATTTGCTTTTTTCTTATTATTCTTTACTTATAATTTGGTTTTGAATTGAGTATTCATGTAAAACTAATTACGTCATTAAGATTTTCGCGGTCCTATATAGCACTACTACCACTGTGAGATTGAAAGTGCCGATACCAGTAACCATGTATAAGATCTGGACAGAGAAGTATGGCAAAGAAGTACCCGCAAGACTCTAATCAACGGGAAAATTCAGTTGCAACTAGATACTGATGAGAATTGAGAAATGTACCATATCGAAACCAACGCTTGATTCCATTGAGTGCATGTTTACAATGATGCAAGAGGAATACAATAGACGAATATTGAATGATATATCAATGAAAAAGATTGAGTACGAGTGATATATTCAGCGCAGATGAAGGGGTGTACGCTGGAAGTAGGTACCAGTGTGATAATGGTTATGAGAGAATAGAAAATTTTTATTTACACAACACATGTTCAAACTTACCCATCTATACCATCCAAAAATGAAGCAAGTGAGTTTGTCTGATGTAAATGTTCAGCAGACTTGCTTTTGGTGTTTTTGAATTTCGCTAATTTGCTTTTCTCTACTTCATTTCTTGGTTATTTGTTTCATGAGCTTGAAGAGCAGTTTCATTGCTACCCTCGGCAATGATGTTTTTGAGCTTTGCCATCACTCTAGTTATTTTGTTTTGCCGTAGTTGGAATGGGTAGGGATTTTTCTTTACACGTACTGGTTCCGATGTAAATCGATCAGAGCAAATGAGACAGATCGTCCTCGAGTGATTTCTTCTGCTGTAAAGCATGATGAACATCTACGGTGTTACATGCTTCTTCTAAGTCATAATTCAATTGATTATATCCAGATCCTTTTATTAAGGTAGTTTCGGTTTGCCAAATGACCGACTGTATCATCCCTTTGGTGCTGCACGTGATCCAAGAACGGGCACTCTTTACATTGCTGATTATGAGAACCATCGTGTGATAAGTTATTTACCCGGTTCATCGTCAGGCACTGTTGTTGCTGGTGGCAACGGACCTGGCCTGAAGAATACTCAACTTCTATACCCTCTTGCAGTTGCTCTTGATATGTCATCAGAAAGTCTTCTGATTGTTAACTGGAGAGGACACAACATAGTGCGTTGGAAGCTAGGTTCAAGCAGTTGGACAATTGCCGCAGATAATATTAATGGTGGCGCGGGGACAACATCCATGCATCTAAACAGTCCCCGAGATGTAGCTATTGATTGCTGGGTAATCTTTATGTAGCAGATACCGATAATCAACGGGTACAATTTTTCAAAGCTGGGGAACTGAATGGAACAACTATTGCGGGTATTACGAGTGCAATTGGCAATGTTGCAACGCAACTTTACTTCCCACATTCACTGGTTCTAGATAATGAACTTAATTTATACGTGTCTGACAACCACAACCATCGGGTCCAAAAATTTATGCGCTACTGAAATGAATTTAAGTTAATGGTTCAGCAAGGGCGAGTTTTATTAAGATACTAACTGATGATATTTATGTTTGTTCTATTATGTAGAATACTATAAAAATATTTCCTTGCTACCATCTTAATAAAAAATAAAGTACAACTACAATTTTTCACCTAGAAGGTCGAAGGCACATTTTCAATATTTTCATTGCTTCGATTAGAATTCGGTGCGCATCTGGATGTGGGTGAGTATCGAAGGCCTTCGTTGGGTTCGTGGGTGGAGCTGTGAGTGTGACGCCATCTCTGTTCCGCATTAGGTTAAACTCTGACCGGCACACCCACACCCACACTCTGATTTTCTGCTTTTTTTAAATTAAAACGAAAGCAGCTAAGATATTGACATTAATGATGTACATCAAGGTCCCCACAAGATAGAATGGTTTAAAACCATTTTTCACGGAGGGGGTACTTAAATATGTTCCCTCGGAAGTAGATGATAACTATCCGATGTTCCATTCCCGGGAAAAAAATATCAGATTATATCAGATTAAGTGGGATTATAATCGAATTTTTGCTCAGCAAATCAACATTATAATTGACTTAAATCTTCTAAATAAGCGATAATTTGGTTTTCAATCAAAAATGATCTTCTAAATCAAGCATAATTTTGCGGGTGTGGGTGTGGATATGGGTGAAGACTTGTGCATCTGGGCTGACTGCCGATTGATGCTCCAACGGTCAATCTTGATTTCTAGGGTCACACACAACCATACTCACCTATACCCATACCTATCCACATTTATAAGCATACCCCAATCCCTACCCACTCACACGCCACAACCACCCACACCCAAAGAATATTGAATAAAAAAAGAATAATATATTTCGTGTATACATATACACACATCAAAAGAAACAAACAATATATGAAGATGTAATTAAAATAAATTCGTTATGCCGCGGTATGAGAACGGCAGAGCGACAGGGCGGCATGAAAACGGCGAAGCGGCAGAAGGGTAGTGCAGCATAGTGGCCGAGCGGCTGAAAGGCAGAGTGGCAGGCCAACCGGCAAACATTTTGAAATGTTCCCTTATCGAGGATATGATTTTTTCGTTATCTTCATTCAATAAGCTATGTTAATCGTTATATTGCGAATAAAAATATTTACCTAATGATCTTATGAAAGATAATTTTGATTCAAATAATATATTATTCAAAATCAATTTTCTTATAATCGATTTGAACACATTAAAACATTTGATGAATCCTGAAAATAGTTAAAAACTAAATTTTCTATTTTAACTTCGTGCACAACAAGGATATACTGGAAGAATTACCAAAGATTGATTGCATTATTTAAATGATAAATTGAATCGAATGATTGAATGAACATCTATAAAACAATTACCAGTAAAAGAATTAAATTTTAATTATTGTTTTTTCATTATATTCTAATTCTTTAGAAATATGTTTAGGGTGTGGATGTGGGTGTGAGCCTCAGGGTGGGTGCGAGTGTAGGCGAATATGTATCGCCAGTAGTGCCTACACCCTTTCTCCCAAATGAGTATATATTCTTAAACTTTCAAATTGTTATTAGTGAAACTAAAGCCAATACTTTTTCTGTCGATAACTGTGTTTACTAGGTGCGTTGTTCTTCTTTCCATTTTCTAATTTCTGTTATTTTTCGAACACAATCTTTTCTTGCATCGGCTGCTGGAAACTGTAACTTGGCTAATTTTTGTAGTCTCAAATTTTGTATAGCGTGATAAAGCTCTTTGTTTTTTGGTACCTTGCTAGTTGTTAATGATATTAAATTACTTAAAATATCTTGTAATTTATTTCGTTGCTTTGCTTTATTAGTACAACCGTACCCAGAAAAAGAGATACCAAACTTGCTGTCAATGTATTCGTGTAATGATTGAATTAGTAAATGTAACCAATTATGTTGATCTTCTCTATGATTTTTTATGCGACTAATTTGATTTACTTTGCCAATCACATTAGCTGCTTGATTTACTATTAGTTTTGATGAATGAAATTCCAGAGATCCTCGGTCACATTCACGCTCAATAATTGACATGGCCAAACTAACTAAAATCTTATCGAAACTGAATTCACGTGAATCTAATATAAATATGCATTTCGCTAATTTTTATTTTTCACTAATCATCATAAGAGATTTTTCAAACCCTTGATAAAATAATATCGCACATAATAATCTAGCAAGCTGTGAATCAAGATGAATTTTATCTTGAATGATACTTTCTTCGAGCTGTGCTGTGTTATCTATTTCATTAATACCAATTTCATATTCATGAGAAGAAATAAGTTCATTCAGTTGGTTCCTGTTCAATCGAGTTTGCACTTTGAATGGTAAATGGCTAATGGCTAACAAAGGAGACTCACTATTGATCAAAATTAATCGATTACCGACTTGGAAGTCCAATGTAGATTTATACACATATTTTGTACCGTAAACAACGGTCATACAATGTTGAGAACATACATCTGTTGTATCATCGTAGACTGTTTGATACAAAAACTTATGATCTTCTCGTTTCTCATAGTCTGTTCTAAGTTTGTTGGCCATCGCATTCAATATCTCACCATCAGGCTGCTTGCATCCAAAGCCGGACCAAAGATGATTTGAAAATTCAGATTTAGTTTTGTGTTTGTTATCAATAAATTGCGAATTATTGTAATCGAATAGAGCAAAATCAAAATCATTCGGTAGACAATTACCAATACAAATAAAACCAGCATTCTCACTAGAATTCATATGCTGTAAAAATAATTGAGATTTGATTACATTGAATGTTGATTTTGGGTTTAGATAAATAAAAATAATCAAATTTGCTGTAGCTAACCATTGTATCTCTGGATGATGAAATGTTTGATATCTTTCAATATCCCACATTTGACTGGAATATTTGAATAGTTGAAATAATTTCTGGTATGCAAGATATTCAACTCGATTAGTTTGAGAATTCGTAACTAGAAGAACATCAGTTTTAATATTTGGATTAAATTCCGGTACAATTCGAATGTAACCTGTATGATTTTCGATCAGTCTATCACGTAATAGTAGATCGACATTCCAAAATAAATTTTCATAAAGTTGGTAAGAAGCATCTGCATTTAAACAAAACTCAAAACAAATAGTCTTTGTACATTTAGGTGATAGTTCTTCATTGATTTTGTAGCGACCATGTCCATTAGGCGTTATGCAGTACGAATTCTCTGTAGTTGCAGGTAAAAGTTTTATTAAAGAATGAGCATAAAATATAAATTCTATGGAACCAGCTGAACCCGCGCATGTAACGTATGGTCGTGTGGAGATGTTAGCGAAGTCTAATACTATGATGGCTCGTTCATTAGGACCCAGAAAAGTAGTGATCTGAATATTTCTAATTTGAACCGGATATTGGCAAGTTAAAGTAATTGAAACTTGACTATGTGTAAATAAACGACCCAACAGGTTAATTTCGGATACTAATTTTACGGGCTGAATGTACGGTTGGTTGATTGAAACCGTTGGTACAGCATTCAGATAGCATTTAAATCGATGAGAGTCAATCAAGATTTGGTTGATATTAGCGCCCACCAATGTACTAACGTCTGTGATATCACTAGAAATATATTTTGTAGATGGAAATGATAATATGGATCCACTGGGCAAGGACATTGCACCATTGTTTGTCCATTTAACATCCGTAATAAAAAAATCTGAGTCAGGTTCGTAGATTTCATCATTGTTTTCATCAGTAATAGTGTAACCAAGAACGCTGGCATGATATTTGTCAGGGTCTATTTCAATGATTTTATCATCCACATCTACTACAGCATATTCGATATGACCATCACTTGCAGCACAACCAACATTACCAGTGGGACCATTTGTACCTGCACGACCATAACTGCCACGCTTACCAGGAGGACCTTCTGCACTATCTGTACCATCAGAACCACCCGGTCCACCTCTGCCACCACTACCGCCATGACCGCCATTTCCACCTCGACCACCTACGCCATAAGAGCCACCTTTTCCACCAAGACCAGCTTTACCTTTGATCCCCCCCTCGACAATCTAGTTCAATTAACATAAATAATCGAGGGTCTGCACTTCGAATCTGGACATGGCCGCCGGCACCTGCGTTTCCTCCATTCCCTCCTGTTCCACCGTTTCCACCATTACCTCCACAACCACCGTTCCCTCCTGCTCCGCCAACGCCTCCTCTTTTACCAGTAGCACCTTGGTTGTAAGATTTGGAGCCATCTTTCCCATCACAACCATCACCACCTTTGCCTCCAGGGCCTCCATCACCCCCATTGCCTCCAACGCCTCCATTACCCCCATTTCCTCCCACAGCCTGTACAAGAATGATTCCCTTCGATTTCGCTAATTGAAAATTATAGTTGACATCATTAAGCCAATGAGTGAGATTTGGATTAATATCAAAGACTTGTCTAGAGGAATCATGTAGTATGTCACACATTTTTAGTTGCATGTTTAAATTTTCAACTGTTCCGTTCAGTTGAACAATTGCGTGCTGAGAATCTGTACCAGATTGGCTTACTTCACCGGCAGATCCATCCTCACCAGTGCTACCTCTACCACCGTGCCCACCAGTTGACCCATCTTTCCCAGGAGTTCCGGATGCACCATCACTACCACGACTTCCATTTTTACCTGATTGGCCACTAATAGAAATTTTCTGATGCACAAGCTTTGCGGAAGCTCGCTGACTAACAGAATGAACATCGAAACAAAGGTTCGGTATAGGAACTTCTGTCAGTATACTCATTAGACCACGTTATCTAAAATAAGCTAGACATTGTATGTTCCAGTTAGAACATGAATCATTAATTGTTTATATGTGTTAGGTAGAATTGAGCTTCAGGAAAAATTAAATTGTAGCTTTCTAAAAGAGACATTTTTTCGAATAATGCTTAGCTACTTAATAATCTAATAACTTCTTGTTTTGCAACAATTTTTCGTTTTATGCATTATTTCATCTAACTAGCTATTTGATATCTAGTGCTATTTAAACATTACTATAACTATTCAAACATGATTCGAGTTATTGAGAAGAGTGGGGGTGTGGATAAGTGTAAATTGGCCCAGATAACTGTGACTACAGGCTTTGTTTATTCATTAACATTCACGCCCCACGCCATCTCCAGCTGCATTTGAATTGATTTCCTTCGAAAACATTACATCATGGACGTGGATTTATCATATATCTTTATGAAGATCGTGGTGGTACAATAAATGGTTGTAATAGTATTTGATGATTATTATTGTTATCATTTTTTGACGACAGAAATAGTAGACAAGTTGATAGATAAATGGATCACATAACAATAATATATTCCAATTGATTCGATGTCTGGTAAATTGGTCGTACTAAAGTCAATCGAAAACAACTGACCTACATTTCTATTACGCAAGTCAGTCTAATACTCTTAACTCTTGCTTTGCAGCAATTAATCAAGTATAGAATGAAGAAAGGATAGAATAACAATGAATAAATGTGCTTCAATTAAAACGATGTATAAATATATGGAGTTAATATCACAGACACGTTTCGTACTTCCTCAAGGCAGTACTTTTCAGCATTAAATATAATACCTACCAAAGAAAAAAAAGACAATTATTATCACATATGAAAATGAAAAGATAACATAAATAAAGAAAAAAACAAAATTATCTAGATTCAAGTTGAGATAAGGAGAAACTCATTTAATTCATCATTTCATGCATTCGATCGCCATGTATGACTTTGCATCCTAAAGTAGAGGGTGTGGGTGTGGGTGTGGGTGGGTGTGGAGCGTGGGTGTGGGTGTGGGTGTGGGTGTGGGTGGATGTGGGGCGTGAGTGTGGGTGTGGGTGTGTGGGTGTGGGTGTGTGGGTGTGGGTGTGTGGGTGTGGGTGTGGGGTGTGGGTGTTGAGTGTGAGTCAGGACTGCCAGATCGAAAATCCAAAAATCGGAAAACTTTTGTCTCAAAATCGGAAAAGTGTCGGAATTTTTTTTCTTAAAATCGGAAAAAAATTGGAAAGTGTTTCTTTTAATGCTTAAATAGCTGATTTGTTTTTTCAGTAACACAACATGCTTTATCCTGTTTCTGTTTATTTTTCCAAACACTATCTGAAAAGATATTTCATAATCACAAAAATAAAAAACGAATTCATACAGGGTTGGAAATAATATTATTCCAGGGGGGGTAACGCTACAATTCTGAATACCAACCCTAATGAATTTTATACCAAATGAAAGCCCGTAAAAAATGGGGTTTCCTGATGCCAAACTGTAAGGGTTCTGACATTTTTTTCTAACAAACTTTCAAAAGTTTCGAAATTTCGTAGAACACACCCGTTATAATTTACTTTCGAAGCACGGTAGAGCAAAGAAAAACAGAAATTTTCTGTAAGAAAATCAAAAAATCTTTTTTCGAGCGATTATAAGACGCATATTCGAGTGAGACATAGAGCTCCTTTTGCGTTCTGTTGTTCGGTCCACGTGGTAGCAGCTATTTAGACGATTTTTGTTTTCTTTCTGTGAGAAGATTACAAAAGAGAGATATTTCAGAGATGCGTAGTAATAGATAAGACCATTTTCAGATCGATATATTTCATAAAAGAATCTATCCTCTTTCGAATCAACGAAGCTTCATTACTTGAAAATGGCTGGTACTTATGATAGTGAACAGCAGAGAATGATTGACAGAATCAGATGCATTGCTTTTCGTGAAGCTCGTGACGCCGGTGCGACATTTATCAATAGACAATGGGTAGCAGAAAAAGTTCATCGTACTACTCGATTTGTCACAGAATGGTGGGAGAAATCATATGACCAGTGTTTTGCTGATTATTCGAATAGCGGTCCAAAACTCAAGTTATCACAAGCTAGTCGAGACACCATTCTTAATGCAAGCGGTAAACAAAGAAAAAGTTGTTCTGTTGTGGCGAAGGAAATTGCTGAAAAACACGGAGAATACGTGGTTCCAAGAACGATTAATAATTACCGTCACAGGGAAGGACTAAAGCCATTCCACGTCATTCCCAAACCATTAAAAACAGAAACTCATATATCAGATCGATTATGGCTGTGTGATTGGTTAAAGGATTGGACTAAGGAAGACTTCCTTCATCTTGCACCATCAGATGAATTTTATGTCTGGACCGTCCGTAGACCAAATTATCAAAATGATCGAATTTGGGCAAGAAGTATCGAAGACATCGAACAGGATGAAA